ATCAAGAAAGGGTAAAATTGAAAAAAGTGATTTAATTATTACAAGGTGTCCTATATTTTAGATTAAAAATTATTTATAGAAGGTGTCTTATAAATATGATCAGAAAGAGCATATATATATATACACCTATACACACACATTAAGTTAGTAATTTTGGAATAGCTTGAATAAATTAAAAAAAACATTTAAGATGAGGCTTAATGAAATTGTATTTTAAATCCAACTCACCTATATTATTAGTTTTGTACACATATATTATTTAGGGTTGTTGATGCAGTGTGGTTGCCCCCACCTTGCTTGAGCTAGTTGGGTTGGTCGAGCCAGGCATTGACCCCTGCCCTACCTAACTTGAAGATGTAGATGCTTTTTAACTTTTTGTTTTAATTTTATATAAAAAATTTATTATTTTGTATAATTATTTTTTAGGATTTTTTATTATTAGTTGGTTGCATTATCAGTCACCACATAAACAATATTTTTAAAGCCAATCTACTTTATCACTTTACTAAATAGCTGAAATAATGTCTTGGCATCTTTGACTAAATTTAAAGTATCAACAAACTTTACAAATACTATACCTTTCATAAAATGAACTAAAAAGTTTATCAATGTATGTTGCTTAATATCAGTCCAACCATCAGCCATTAATGTGCAACCATTACTTTCCCATCTACTTCGATGAGCATCAACAATTCAATGACATTCTCGTTTCAAATTCCCTAACAAATTCACTCTCATATCATAAGCAGTATAGCCTTTAAATTTAGGTCCTATAGCAGCAATTACATCTATAGTTTTTAAAAGAATGGACAATTCAATGTATTGAAAGGAATGGAATTGATAACAAATCACTCACAAATGACAATCTTTGCTTTGTGATGTGCTTTTTTAATTGACAAAACACTTTTAATACCTGATTGTGCACCAGGAGTTATTCTTGAAGCAAAGTAATTGTTTTTTAGGATTTTTATTATATTTGTTTTTATGATTGTTATAGATATTTTTTATAATTTTAATTTTTACAAGTTTTTAAAATATTAAATTGATTTTTCCAACTAGTGAAAAATATGGATAATTGTTAAGCATATAAAATTTTAAAATGATTAATTTGAATTCTAGGATAAGTTTTATAAGAAATGTATTTTAAATAAATTTAATTATATTTTCTGTTGATTTAAAAATAGATTGGGTTTCGGCCAAACCCGTTTCAGACTTTCAAGCGGCTCGATGCCTGGAGTATTGCATTGGGCGGGGTTTTAGGTTGAGATGGAGACTGGCCAGTGCCTGTTCATGTATAACCCTATATATATTAAAGGAGAAATGTAGAATGGGGACTATGTTCAGATTAAATAATGTTGGGAATAATTAAAGTTGATAAGGAAAGGAGATTTGAAAAGGCAAGAATGGGCGGCGGGAGGGAGGGCGAAAGTCAAGAGGATGAGATAGGATCCACCGAGGAGGAGGCCTGCGCATGCAACTTGGCCTGGCCTCATCCTACGTGCTGCCGGGCCACACGTGCTTCCAGATTCGTGAAAACCCGACACTGTTTCACTGCTGGGCCCCCCTTTCCGTTTCTTCACGCGCCCCTCCTCCTTCACCAATTCTGACATCTTTCTAGAACCACACAGGCCAAATGCACGCCGCCTTACACAAACAAAAATTACTCTTAGGTACCAGCATTCAGCGTGGGTGTTGCTGCCAAACAATAATGTTGTTTTATTTTTTTGTTATTAATATATTTACACAAGTAAATGAAATGCATGAGTTTTATTATTATAGTGTGGCAGCAGTACAGGGTGAGTACTAATTTTACATGTTCCAACCATAATAGTCACTTTTTGATAATAGAAGAATTATGCAACAACTTTATGGATCCTGGTACACTGTTGATGATAGGGCACCGCCAGAAGGGCCCACCTAGCTGAGCCGATCATTCCAACGTGCAGTTTGTTTGGTGGCGCACCAAACGGGGTTTTTCAACTGAGTGTTCTGAAACGTAAACCAAGCTTACCGAATCAATCAAACTTACCTAAATCAATCGAACTCATTAATACAGGTCTGGTAGAGTACGTCTCAGCATTCAGCGTGGGTGTTGCTGCAAACAAATAACGTTGTTTATTTTTTTGTTATTAATATATTACACAAGTAAATGACATTCATAATTTTTTTATTATAGGGTGGCAGCAGTACAGGGTGAGTACTAATTTTACATGTTCCAACCATAATAGTAACCTTTTTGAATAATAGAAGAATTATGCAACAACTTATGGATCATGGGACACCGTTGTGAGTAGGGCACCGCCAGAAGGGCCCCCTAGCTGAGCTGATCATCCGACGCTGCCGTTTGTTTGGTGGCGCACCAAACGGGATTTTCAACTCAGTGTTCTGAAACGTTAAACCAAGCTTACCGAATCAAATCAAACTTACCTAAATCAATCGAAACTGGTTAATACAGGTCTGGTTTGGTTCTCTTTAATGAAAACAATAGGTCTGGTGCTCGACCTAGATTTTACATGCTCATAATCTGAAATTGAAAAGTAGTAAATTTATTATATTATTTTGTCAAAAAAAAAAAGCTATTTTATACAATAAAAAATAAAAACTTCAAATATTCACAAATCTTAATTCATGTTTTGCTTTCACAAAACAAACTTGTTAATTTTTAATATATTTTATGATATAATATATTTATTTTTTAATTATTTTTATGTTCATTTTAGGATATAGAAGAAGAACTAAAAATAAATAAATTCTTCTTCCCCATTTGTTTTTTATAAATAAGATTGAGAGAAGTATATAATTTTTCATACAGGACAATCGAACCGATAATTCACGATAACTTAAAATCTCACCGTGTGTTATCTTATGAAAAACAACACTAATTGAAATAGCCTCACAATTAAAAATATTTAATTAATAAGTTCCATAATTCTTCTTAAAAATATAAAAGGCCAAACTATTTAAATAAACTTCTAAAAACCTAAATGATATAGTCCTAGTTAATCTAGAATTCTAAATAAATAGATCATATCCTAATGAACATATTTTATCCTTATTTAAATTTAAAACAAAATAAACTATTTTTTCTAAACTTAAATATAAAATTAAAATAGGTAAACTAATTTTCTAATTTTAAGAAAAAATGGTAACTACCTAATTGGACTCATGAACCTAATATCTTGGGTTAGATCCCATATGCTTGTGTGTTTTTCTTGGATTTCTAGAACTTCATTTGTTTTTAGGATTCCTTAATTGTGTGAGATATATCTAATTACTGAATGTAAGACTTTTTTTTTTCATCTTTTTAGTTCTGAATCTAGTAATTGGTCCTTCATACTTTACAACAAATCAAATATGCTAAATATTAAATTTTGACTCATCTTTTAATTTCCATCATCGTTGTTACTTGATTCCATGTATTATAAGATCCAATTTAGATTACAATCTAGTATTATGATGTATCACCTACTACTATATAAATTATAATATTTGAATATTTTCTTCATTTCATTATATTTGTTTTTTAATGTTCTTAACGACGCAAAGGATTAAAAAAATAATAAGCGTTGTAAAAAATTATGAAACTTCTTTCATTATAAAATATAAAGTATTTTTTTAAATTGCATTGTTAAAAAATTTAGATTATTTTAATTTTTAATGTGAAATTAATGAGTTTTTTTTCAAAAATACATTCAAATAGTGTTTGGATAGTAGATTTGAATTTAAATTTAAATTTTAAATTCACATTTTAAATTCAATTGAGAGATTTAATTTAAATCCAAATCAAAATCTTTATTTATCAAGATTTAATTTAAATCCAAATCAAAATCTTTATTTATCCAATATACTCTTAATGAATAAATCACACCATTCTTCATTTTTAAATGGGATACCTTATTAAATAAAAATAAATATAAAAAATATATTTAATTTAAAGACAACTAACTTATAATAATGCAATTCGATTACAGATCTTTTTATATGTTTAAGGGGGATGTATGCTTTATCTAATTTGTCCCTCCTTTAACTGTGTTAAAATATGTGTGAATATTTAATTATATTAAATACTCATTCAATTTCAAAATATGTGCCTTTTGAGGTATTGTACATATACTTAAAAAGATAAATTTTTTTTCTTAAACTTTTTTAACTATCCATTTAATTTATAAATGGATTTGAAATAATTCAGTTCTTGACTTAATATAAGTTAACCTTTATAATTCTTATTCAATAAATTAAAAAGATTAAATTATATAGAATTAAAAGTTTAGAGATTAAATTGATAATTAGAGAAAAATTACAAATAGATATTATAATATCTCCATTTAAAAATACAATCAATACATAAGAATATTGGTCATGTAGCCAAAATTACATCTAAATAAGAATTATAAAAAAACACTTGCTCCTTTCGTTTAAAAATGTAAAGTATTTTAATTGAATCTCACCTTTCAATAGAATAGTTACTTAATTTTTAACTAATCCTATCTTTCTATATTTATCTTTATTAAATATCCTACAATAAATAAAAAATTATTATCAATAGGTGTACTTTTAAAAAAAGATAATGATTATATATCAAAAGACTAAAAATGTCTTACATTTTTTAATGGAGGGAGCAATAAACATTGCTTTGAATTTCTAAATAATATATAAAATAAGCAAAAAATTGCCTCTAAAAACTTAAATTTTAAAACAGAGGAGGGAACTAGATAAATTTTATAATTTGGGTAAAATAGAAAAAATTGTTAACTTACTTTAAATTTAAGAAAGCTTCCAGTAACATGTAACAAAACTTTTTTTATTTCTTAAAAAAAGCTAACATAACAAACGGGACGGAATGCTCACCAGACATGACTCATCCGCCACCCCACAAAGCAAAAAGCCTCTAACGAATGTCACGCGCTCCCTACTTCGCGTGGCCTTGTCCCTGTGGTTAGAACTGCATCCCTGCTGATCATGTTTCTTTTTAATCTCATCACAACACTGCAATATATTTGCGTACGATTCACACACACTCACTCTGTCTCTCCCCCACACCCTGTAACTCTCTCTCTCCCCCCTAATCTACATTGGTTCGACTTTCGATCCGGATTGCTAATGCCATGTGTATCCTACTTATTTTTTCAATCTTCTTTCGATAAAATCTTGATTTGATTAGCGTTTGCCTTCTCTCTCAGGGCCAACTCCATTTCCTCGTTATCGCAAAATTCGTCTCGTCTCTCTGCCTTTGATCTACAGATTCCTGCTTATTAAAATGAAGGTACGATTCCCACTTCGGCTTTTGATTCTTTTGGCTTTTCCTTTTTCCTTCGAAAACCGATGAATCGTTTCTCAATCATTTTTTATTCAATTCTGATTCTCCTCGACTTATACTCTTCTCACTTCGTCTCTCTTATGTAAGATCTGAGTTGAATATTTCTGAACCGAATCTTGCTATCTCCCAAATCAGGATTGAATGTATTTTTTGTGCCGCTTCTATTATGCGAAGTAACAGAGCTTCTTGTTGAAAGAAAATATTTGCTTTCATGTGTTAATTAAGATCTCGTTTGTTATCATGTTATGATATTTTTCTAGGAATTATTTGAATCTAAGCTGAACCACTTTCTGATTTGTGCTTACAGAAGTTTGCTGTGATCAAGTTAGAATTGGAAGATGACAGGGCCAAGCAGAAGGCTCTGAAAACGGTCTCAGCACTTACAGGTACAAAAAAAGTTGTATTATACAGTATTCTGCCTTCTTCAATTTTCCACGCTAACCATTTATTTATCCCGAGAAAATGAACGTTGGAGGAACTATGCGTTCCTCGCAGATTTTTGGGGGTGCGTTTTTATGCTGGACTGCATATTTGCACCCATATTTAAGGATTACAATACTCTAACTTTCTGTGCGTTCATGTTTGAAATGCTAAAAATGACCAAAGTAGTCTAGAATCTAGGTCTTCAAATTCTTAAGTTGATAGATGCGTGTTTTTGTACTTTGATTTGTCATATGCTCTTTCAACTGATTAATTTTTTTCCTATTCTTAAATATTATTGTTATAGTTGCTGGGCTGTGGTAGGTGAAAGAGATATATTAATCCTTCATTTTTGTTCGTTGGCTAAAAATACTAAATCCTCATTTTACTTGAGATCATTAAGACATTAGTCGGCCGTTAGCTTGTCAATAAATCTACAGTGGGATGCATTATATGAAAAAAAGTTAAAATGGGGTTTCTTATTTGTGAAGGGATTTGTGGTGGAGGGAAAGGGAAAGGGAATACACCTTTGCTACGTCTATATATAGTTAAGTATGATCTTTAGAATTACATTTTGCTCGCATAGTATGTAGTTAAGAAACTTGGGATATTGAAGGTATAAATCGCAAAAAGTGTGCCTTACAGGTTAAGTATTAAATAAAATATAAGATAGCAGACATGAATAATAATGCATATCACAACTCAGGGAGGTGTAATGAAACATGCTCTTACAGAGTCAGAGGCTCACTCGCATGGAATGAAGTAAATGTAAATTATTGGACTGAGAGAATTTTTATTTTGTTTGTTATGATTATATTGAGCCTCTTCCATAGTTGAAGCTGTTGATCTTTTGTCCCGATTTCTTTAAGCAAAAGCAATCAACTTCTGCTATGTGCTTGCAGGGATAGATTCCATCTCTATGGACATGAAGCAGAAGAAATTAACTGTGATAGGAACAGTTGATCCGATCTCTGTGGTGAGCAAACTTCGCAAATACTGGCCAGCAGATCTAACGTTGGCAGGAGCGGTTAAGGAGCCTGAGAAGAAAGAGGAGCCAAAGAAAGAAGAACCTAAGAAGGAGGGAGAAAAGAAAGAAGAGCCAAAGAAGGAGGAAGGAAAGAAAGAAGAGGAGAAGAAGGAAGGGAAGAAAGAAGAGGAGAAGAAGGAAGGGGAGAAGAAGGATGAAAAGAAGGAGGAGAAGAAAAGAAGAGGAGAAAAGCCAGCCGCGGTCCCAGGTCCGGTTCCACACCCAGACCCTGCATTTTTAGAGATGGGGAGGGGGGTTATAACAGGCCATATTACCCCTTCATGGCGTACAATCCCCAAATGGCATATAATACCCACATGGCAAATAATCCCTACATGACATATTATCCCCCCATGGCCAGCTACTATGCTCAAAGCATGGAAGACAGTCCCAGCACTTGTGCTATTTTGTGATCAGCATTCGGCAAGCTGTCCGGAGATGAGGGAAAGACAAACTTTCTTAATATGATGCAGGATCTAAGCCTTTGATGCCTATAATAGGCTACAGCCAGGGCGATAGCAGCTCTTGTACATAGTAATATGGGGGTCTCTTGTTGAGTTTAAAACTCTTGTCGTGTTTTGAGAGAAAGGAATAAGTATGGGACACACACATGTAATCCATAGTCCCATACCAATTACCTGTAATAGTGACTAGATCGTACCATTACTTACCGAGATCATCAGTTAATTTTGTTTGTAGATGGCCGTCGGGACATACTGGAAAGAGCAGAGAATGCTAAGCGCACATATATACATATATGACGAGCTTTTATTGTAGTCAAATGAGGGGAAGTCCCAATCCCAGTGCATCCGCCACTTCGGATGAAAGAGGAACTGGCTTACTGTTATTTTTTTAGTGCTGCTCGTGTCTCTGATCTTGTGGGGCATGCTGGCTGAAAAGCCTCACCACGCGATCCTAGGGTTGTGCTTACAGTGTGGTTCCCATTGTATTTTTCCTTTCAAGAGATTTGAGTCTTTGCATAGAAATTTTAAGTAGATTAAAACACGCACCCGCACATGAAGTAATAAATTTTAAATTTAAAAAAGGTTTAATTATAAATTTTTCTTCTTTGTTACAGAGTCCTTATATTTAGAATTATGATGATATTTGGGCTCTATTTGATATTAAAAAAAGGTGAAAGAAATAATTATTGTATGGTCTAGCATTATTTCATCACTATTATTGTCTCATTATCATTATTTACATATATAATACTCCATTGAATCTTAAATGTAGAAGTGAAATAATTAATTTACATATATTTAAAAAAATAATTAAATTAGTTATTTGAAAAAAAAATACTTGTTGGTATCCCTAACATATTCCTTTTTTTAATTATTTACATTAAAAATAATAAACGAGATAAAGAAGAAAATTATCTTACATTTAAGTTTAAAATTTAAAACAAAAATTTCACCAAATCTTGTATTTAAAAGGGGGAAAAGGAAAGAGTATTGATATTTTATATTCATAACGTAATTTGTATATTTTATTTCTTGAATTTTAAATGAACATATTGATAGGTTGATTCACGGACGCACCTGTGATTTGACAATACGAGTACTGATTAGACAATATATTCGATTACATGTTCGCAATGGAATATATTTTATGTTTGGGAGCTCGCTATTTTGTTGGCCCCATCGAGTAAAAATGAAGTATCATAATCCAATGATGTGATTGGTTGGTCTAAATTATCATCATTATTGTTTTTCCAGTGGGCTTTCCTGAGCCTCCCATCCCACCATTTGTCGAATCATTAATTAATTTTCCGCATAAAGAATGATAGGCTGTTGATTCATCTCAATTATGTGTTTCAACGCTGTCAATTTCAAATCTATACTCAGTTCTCTAATCTCATCCACCATTAATTAATTAATTAAAGTGATTCTTGCTTTTGTCTCCTCTCTCCTCCAAACAAGACAATAACCTAAGCTACCTTCATTCTATTTGGGTACCATGTCTTGTTGGCTTCTCTACGCTATCACCTTCCACATGTACTGTGCCAAAGCATGTAATTGATTTAATTAATCACAATTACATTAATTAATCATTCCGTACCCAATCAGAATAAGTATTAGCGTTTGAAAGCCTATCCTTCTTAAACCTAGTCATTAAGTGTTTTGAACCCTAAAAAATTATGGTTTGGTTTAATAAGATGGAGAATTCATCAGTAAGAAAACTATGAATTTTCTTGTGTTGTGTTTGGATGTTTATGCATTAAATTTAAATTTAAATTTGGGCCAAATCCTTTGTTTGGTCACTTAAAAATATTTCTAATTCTTTTGTAAATTAAAACACTCCTTAAAATTTCACTATTTCAAGTCGCAATCCTTACCCCATCCTCATCAATCATATCTTGCATTGTCATTACCGATTGCTACTCCATTCTTGGCTTTCTCACTCAGGTGCCATTCTTATCTCTCACTCAGGTGAGTCCAATCTTCTACTTTTCTCATTCCTCAAAGCTTTTCTTTATTTCATTTACGCTTATATCGTCACTATCCTCTCTGATCTCTTCTTCCTTTCCTCTTTTGTTAGCTTGTCTCTCTTAATTCCCTAAATATGTTTTGGACATATTTGTTGGGTGAATTGGTTTTGATATTTACATTATATTTGAGATTTTCTCCCTTGTTATTTTGATGTTTGATGTAGGATTAGATGAATTTATGTTTTTTACTCTAATATTCAGTGAATAATTCTTCATATTGGTTTGTTGACATATATAGATATATATATGGTTCTTGCGTACAATTTGAATAGGACATTAGTTCGATAAGTGAACTCTTGAATTCCAATGGTGATTTCCCATGAATAATTGCTATTAGCAACATGGTACATTTGAAAATGTTTTTGTTTGTTTGGTTTTAATTGATTTTTTAATTTGTATGGATTATTATCATGAAGAAACTCAACTTGATTCTTGAGCAGAGATGACAGGTTAGCTACAAGTATAAGGCAACAGAAGTGGATAGTAATTCTAACTGGACCCTCCTTAAAAGTGTTAGGTATAGTTAGAAGGTTTTATGCTCGAAGCACTTTTTTTTGGAGAGTGAAAATTTGCTCACAAACTAGAATGGCATTCAAGGCTAGACAGTCTTTTCTTTTCTTTGCAATTTGTTTGTTTTTGAAATCTCTCCTAAAGAATTTATGGACAATGATTACAACTATAGGACTGATAAGAAGTGTATGAAAGCTAGGGGTTGGTAAACAAGGTTAAGACAAGTGTGTTTTAATCCTGATTCTGATAGGAGAAGCGAAGATGTTTTGAAGGCACACTTTGGCTTAGAAACTGCAAAATAAAATTGATAAATCTTTTAGTGACCAACTCCATCAAAACCTACCTTTTTTTTCTTCTAGCAAGGAAGTGTGTGGCACTTGAGATACTGTGATATTGCCACTAAATGCCATACACTAATCCAAGCTTGCGCTGGATTATTATAAAGGAAGTCTGTGGCACTTTAGCGCAATGTCACAGCAAAAAACAAGAGCAGAACACTCAAAGAATTGCTTGTGAGAGAATAGCAAAAAGAGATGAATAACACATGATTTTCAAACTCCTCTATCAGGATATAGGAACACGTAGAAGCTGATAATATATCTGAAAAGCCTAATGCTCCAACCTAACTTGTGTAGTTGTGTTACCTTTTCTATTTGAATTAAAAGCATGCTGTGTTAAAAAAAAATGGAGAATAACAAGGAAAAAGTTAGCTCAAAAAATCCACAAAATTTTATTCTACAGTTGCTGAGCCAAAGTGCGCCTTCAAAACATCTTTGCTTGTCCTACCAAAATCAGTTTCTACATTTTGAACCATATCTCAGCTAGTAGTTGCCTAGTCATTGTTCTTGATCTTGGATTTTCTTATCATAATTTCAACATGTCCTAATCTTTGACACTCTTCATTTACAAGGAGCCAATATATATAATAGATTATTTTTATTGTCAAGTGCATTCTTTTAATGACTTGTAATTGTTAAGTTCAATGTGGAGTGTGAACAATTATTTATAAACTGTTAATTTGTTTAATTCATTATTCTTTTTTTGCTCTTCATAATGACTTGTAATTGTTAATTGCCTTCTTGATCTTTGTTAACAGAAAATGAGCAGCAAAGAATTCCAAATTCAAGCAATGGTGAGAGCAAGGAATAGTCACATTCAATCATCTTCTTCACTTTCTCAGTTAACACTATTTAAAATTTTTGCACAAGGCCAGTTATCCAACTCTAGATTGCCAACAAATGGAAAGGGAAAAGAAAAATCAAGATCATATGTCATGTGGAATGGATAATTTGTTTGCTCAAGTGCTATATGAACAATTAGCTCTAGATAACAAGAGTGAAGGGGATTGAAAACCTCAAGCATATCAAGCTATAGTAGATGTGTTACATGCAAAATTAGGTATTACTTTGGTGGTTAGTAATGTGAAGAATAGAATGAAGGCTTGGAAAAGGCATTATTCAATTATTACTAATATCAGAACAAGGACAAAGTTCAAATGAGATGATGATAAAAAATTGGCGGTAATTGAAATAGAAGATGTTGTCAAATGAAATGAATATGTTGAGATATGTCGAGTTTTAATGGTACGCAATTTATTTTAAAATTTGAGGTATGTGAAGTTTTAATGGTTATTAATGTTTCATCTAATCACTTTTATTTTTTCTAGACTTTCCTAAAGCAAATGGCTGTCAAAATAAAACAACAGAGAATTGGGAAGACATTGTCATGCTATGGGGGAGTGGAAGAGCCACTGGTGAAGGTGCTTCAAATTTTTACAAAGCCAAAAAAAAAAAAAACTTAGTGGAAAAGAAGTTCATCCTTTAGTTTCCCTAATTTGAGGACTTCAAAAGATAGAAGTGATTCAAGCTGTTAGAAAGCTAATAAAGGGTGACATAAAAGAGTTTAATTTACTCAGATACCTTTTCGATGACGAGAAAAAAGAGTAGATACAATTTCTTCTTAAAAGTTGATAATATTCAACATTCTGTTTGTTGTTAAAACATTCTCATTTTTCATTTTATTTGACATTGATACTATAACATATATAGAAACTTTAGCTTTGTAAATATGGGATGAATATCACGTTGGTGTAGAGCCATATGAGTTTTTCTTATTATATCGGAATTTATTTATAGTCAAAGATTTCTTTGTATTTTCTATATTGATGCTTTTTAATTTGATTATGTTGGAACTGAAATCATTACAAGCCATTTTGAATTTGTAGTCAAAATATATATACTCAAGTTTTCTCTTTTTTAAAGTCAGATTATAAATGCAAGGAAAAATAAATGTGAATTTTGTTTTGGTGTTTGAAAATTTTGGTAATATTTTTAATATTTTGCTTTAGTTGGCATTGAGAATATTTGGTTTTGGTGTTTCAAAATTTTAACAATATTATTAATATTTTGTTTTATTGTTGAATGACAAATTAATTCTATAATTCATCATTTTAAATTAAATTTTTAGGTTGTTTCTATTGATCAAATTTTCTTTAAAATGATTAGGATAATACGGTTGAAGGGTAAAAATTTTTATTGATAATTTAAATGCAAAACAATAAAAAATTAAAAATTAAATTTAATTATGGTTATTTGAAATTTCTTGCACAATCCAAACAAAGAATTTTAATATTAGAATTTGAAAATTTTTAACTACCTAAATAAAGGATTTGAAATACATGGATTTAAAATATGAGATTTTAAATCCTTAATGTGCTTAATTTTGCTAATCCTTGTGATGTTGTGATTAACAAAGTTAGTATATGTTAATGAAATTAATTCTGTCAGTACCAGCACATGATTTTTATAGACATTTTAAAACTTTACGATTAAAGTTGTAGATTGAAAATAAAAGAATTGGAAATAATAAAATAAAACAATAAAAATTAAAAACAAACACAATCAAAATATAGGAATTTACTGGTGTTTTCCCTAACAAAAAATCACTAGCATCACTCAAAATCCTTCTAAAGGTGCTGCTAAAAATGATATATTTGTTTGCACAGATTAATAAAAAAAAGCCAGAATTTTGCATTTTAGTGAAAGTTTTCTTTGAAAAAAAAAAGAGCAACTCATTTTGCAGAAGTTGAATCGTCGGTAAAGTCCTGAGCGTAGGATCCACAGCTAATGCACTTTTTTTTTTTTTCCCGTGCTGGTAAATTTCTTTATACCGATCGATTTACATATATTAGTCACATTTGAAATTAATTGGCTAACTAATGATGATGTGTGGCATTGACCAGATGATTTGATCAACGGGGTTATCATTACATACCACCAAATGTGTTTAATCCTAATAAAGTATATACAGACCGTCATTTTTTTTAATGAAAGTTATTATGATTAGCAAGGAAAGAATGACATTTAGGTCTGACGAAAATAATTTAATAACATTTAGGCTCAATAATTTTTTACTAAAATATAAGTTACAAATATTGATTCAAGCACCTTCAAGTGTGAAAGTCTCAAATACAAATTTTAGGAATAACTTACAAGATTTGAATTCTTACTCTGTAATTAATACTTGTACATTTACAACGATTGAATTAATCCTCACAACTTACCTTTCAGTAAATTTTGTTCAGATTTAACTTTTATGAAATTGGTATTTTGGAATTCAAGTTTGATTTTTTCCATTTATGTAAACAATGACGAAGTAAAAATGAAGTCATAATTGTTGTCAGATTAAGCTGAAGAATGAGTTTGAAGCGTTTGATAGCTCAACAGAGAGCTTAACAAGTGACGGCAATTCAGAATGGTCCCAAATGTTGCAGGATGTTAGATCAACCTCCTCTGACCGATTACCCAATGCCCGCCAACTATATCTATGCATAAAAATTAGAGAAAATTAATCTTTTTTCAAGACCAGATTAACCATTTGATATTTAACTCAATTTTTAACTTTTAATTCATTATAACTCAATTTTTATAATTTTAATTTAATTACAATTTAATCTCTAAATTTCAACTTATTATAATTCAATTTCTATAGCTTGTAATTTCTAAACTATAAGAGTAACAGCAAACAAGTTAGACACAATATTAAGTCATTGTTCTTCTTCTTTAGTTAAGATATGCTAAATTAGTGACGCTTTTAAAAATGAAACATGAAATCTGATATAAACAAAAATTATTAAATAGATCAATATAAAAATAAATTGTATTCATATATTGTAAAAAAAGAGATTATCTTATACTGCTTACCCTGTATCATTAAAATTATCAATATAAAATTTTTTTAGTTTTAAGTAAGAATTGCACATATTAAAATTATAATTAATATAAATATACATTTTAGTAATTTAAAACATTATTGCCTAAGTTTTAAGAAATAAATCTAGCCCTTAAAATTTTATTTTCTAAAATATAAGTAACAACCAGGGGTGGGGCAGGATTTTCAGTTTAGGAGGCTGGGATTACAAAGCATATACATACAATATTTGAAGGAAAGTTTTATACGATATTCAACAAACGCATAAATGCTGTCTTTGAAACATTAGAGCATTATTTGCAAAGATTTAATTTGAAGTGTACAACGCTTATAATTATGAACAAGGCTTTGTGATAGAAATGTTGAGATGTACAGACGGGAAAATCAAAGTCTGTACATGGCAGAAACAATCCCAACAATGGTCGGTTGGATTGTTGAGGTTGTACCACATTGGACAACTTTCCTACCTACTTTTCAAAATCAAATATATGTGCCTCTCTGTTCCCTCCCAAAATTGATGTGGAAAATGACATAAACTTATCCATTTCGCAACTGAGATCCCACGCATATAGTTGTACATAGTTGAAGGTCTAGGTCGTTTCAGAAATTTCTGTATTTGTATTTTATGACGAGCTACTTGCAGTCAATTCAAAAAATTAGGTACTGACAATTTTGCATATGGATTATAAGCTTAGACCTTTCTTTGTTAAAACTTAAAATGTACCCAAAAAAAAAGTACCCCAAAAAAAAAAAATACTCACACAATTTTCCTATCTCTCGTAATCGATCATTATTGCTACTTCTTTTTATAATTTATTTAAATTTATGTAGTTTTGTTTAGTGGTATTTAACCTTGTACTTGTCTCCATTACTTCGGACAAGATTTTGTGGGATGGGATGGGGCATGAGGTTAGCCTTGAACATCTCATCATGTCCCAAATATTATATATATATATATATATTTAAAATATATATTATATATATTAATATAATTTATTCTTATATTAACTATATTAATTATAATTTAATATTTATAATTATATTCAAAACTAAAAGTTCATGATATTGATAATTTTAATGAGATAAAGTAAGCATTGCAGGATAATATATTTTTTTAAAATATATTAATTATATTGGTATAATTTTTTTATATCTATCTATTTATTAATTTTTATTTATATTATATTTCTTATTTTATTTTTGAAAGAATCAATCACTTCAAGTATCTCAATTAAAAAAGAAAATTATTGAGTTGATATTGTGCCTAACCTATCTAGTGCTATTACTTTTGCAACTTAGAGACTATTTGTAGTATTGTAATGATGTGTTATGCCTTTTATATATATATATATATATATATATATTTAACTTTAAGTTGTATACTTATAATTATAATTGATATAATTTAATAATTATTTTTAAATTATTTTTATTTATATACTCATATTGTTTTAGTTTTAAGTTTAACAAGTTATGTAATTTAATTAGATTTAATCACGTGCGTTGCAAGTTTTTTAATTAATAAAAATGAAAATAATAATAGGAATGATAACATTTACCAAAAAATCAATTTAAATAAAAAGATTTTGATGTTAAACAAAAAAAAAATAGGTTTGACATAAATTCAAATTTTTTTTATGTTAAATAAAATGTTTTGATATAGACCAGATCTCATGTATAAATGTAAGAGAATTTTTTTAATATGATACTAAATTAAAAATAAGAAACAAATTGTAACGAGAAAGGTGATTATGATTTATTTTAAAATATCATTATTTAAGTTAAAAAAAATGTTAGAACACATATGTTTTAATTTTGGGTTAAGGTGCATTTTTGCCCCTAAATTATTTTTTGAGGAGCATCCAGCATCCTAATATTTTTGTTGGAGTAATTTTGCCTTTAAAATTATTAAAACGAAACATTTTTGCTTTTTTTGTTAAAATTCCAATGTTGACTTCAAATGTTGATCTCAAAATAGAACACGGGCACCTTAAGCCAAATTTCTTGTACCAAAGCTGGAAAACTTACACCCCAAGTTAGATCCTCTTGTACTCAAATTAAAAGCCTTGTACCTCAAGTTAGAAGCCTGACACTGAAGTCAAAACCCTTATATCTCAAGCCAGAACCTTTGTACTCAAGCTAAAATCCTTACACCTCCTTACATCCTCTACTTGTTGAATTTACATGTAATCCTTAATGCTTGCATGTAAACAAGTAGTGTTGGTTTTTTTTCAGCGACACTTTCTGCTACCCTTCACTTACTAGCCATAGCTTTGGCAGATGCACTGTCACCTATCGAAGCTTCAGTTTTGGTCATTGGATCTCTGATGGCTAGATTTTATGCCTTTTTGAAAAAAAATTAACACAGAGATTCATTTCAATTATTTGCTCAAATTATTTAATAAATAAAATATTAATGTTAGTTTTTTAAGTACATTTAGTCCCTAAAACCAATTTTGTTTTTAATTAGGTCCTTTTTCCTAATTTTCTCAAAATTTTATTAGGCCTGCTATATATAACAAGCTAAGACATTATATTACATAACTAATTAATTATAGAAATCATTTCCAAGCTATTAATTGGTGATGATGAGCTATTTTATTTCCATTATAAACCAAAGGCGAAAGCCAGAGAGTATTTTTTTTGTTTAAAAAATGAGTAAATGGGCAAGCGTTATATTTAGTGGAATATTAATTAAAGAGGGTGAATTCATATGGTGAGTGTGAGCATTATTGAATGATGGAGGAGATGGACACAACGGAATTGAAGAAATTGCGCATTCGTCCACACCACTATCTATAGAACCGATCATCATCAGAATAATAAGAACATTTAGTCGTAAGAGAATAAGAATGATATCTATATATCCCTTGAAATATTTCATGGTTTCTTCGTCAAAGTGACGAAATTTGAACATTATATTATATAAATATACACGCCAAAGCATTTATTAACCGAATATACATTAGAGATACTTTCACGTCAAACTTATTATGCTTTTGGGTATTTTTCTTTGGAATGCATCCTTTGAACTGATCCAACAAGCCACGCATGCGCGCCACTGGGTGACCAAGATTGTTGACAAGGCTCATCATTCAACTAGTGTACTTTTCTTCATCCTAGGCACGGAAAAGGTTTTAATTTGAATTATATAAAATTCTAAATTAAGGTATATATATTTTCGAATTAATCCTATTCAGCAATGAGTTTGGTTTTTTTTTTTACTTGATTATATTTTGTTTGGAAAATAAAATTTAATTAACTCTGATCTGCGTCATTTTGTTGGGGGGGGGGAGGAAGAGGTGGAACTTTATTCATGGAATAAATGATTCATTCTTGAGGATCATACATCATTTAATAATTTCAGTCATCACCAAAGTACACTAGAGCTAGCCGTCTCCATATGGGACAAGCTGCACACATGAAACTGTAAGTCTTATATTAATATGTATGTAGAGGGCACGTTTGACTGCCATCAGAAAGCTATTAAGCGTTAAAAAAATGGGAGGGAAAAAATCATGAAGGCTACACACTGAAAAACACAACTTTATTCCGTCCACTGACGTAAATAATCTGAGGTTACCCACCTTGAATAATCTTGATTAAGTAGCTTGAACAAGGGGTGAATGAGGAGACATCATGTGAGGTGACATGACAGTTTCATCAAATCTTCTTGGAGAAGAGAAGCTCAGCCTGAGATTGCTGTTCCATCGTTTAATCTTCGCTGGTTTCTTCTGTGTTTCTTTGCCCACAAATGCTCTGATTCTCCTTAGTGCAACTTCCACTGCTTCGTCATCCATATTTGCGAAGCAAACCCTATACCAACCTGGTTCTTTACAGTCAAAAGATGAACCGGGAGAAACGTTGAGCTTCACTTCATTGATAATGTCACGCCACAGTATCATTTCACCTTCAAAGGTCTGCTCTTTTAGCAGCCTCCTCAAGTTCATCCACACGAAAAGCCCCGCGTTGCTTGGCAAGCAAGTAATCCCCACCTTTTCGAGACCCTTTGTGAAGAGGTTATGCCTCTTTCCCAGCCTCCGCGAGCTCTCCTTGAGGAAGTAATCGATGAATTCGTCATCGTTGAGCATTGCAGCGAGAAGATGCTGAGTCTGCGAAGAGACTAATCCAAAGCTGGACATTTTACGGCCACACTGCACCACTGTTTCATTGTACGAATAAACTATCCCAACTCTGAACCCAGGAAGTCCCATGTCCTTAGACAAGCTATATATAACATGTATGAGATCAAGGTTGCATTCCATATCTTGTATGATTTCAGAGACGCTCACAAAGCTGGGGGAGTTGAAGACTGTGGCAGAATAAATCTCATCACAGACTAAGTGGATGTTCTTCTGGTTGATGAAGCTCACTAAGCTCCTCAGTGTCTCTCTGTCCAGGGTGGTTCCTAAAGGGTTTGATGGGTTTGTTATGATCAAACCCTTAACGTTAATGGTATCCTCTTGGGCTTTCTGGTATGTTGCTTCAAGAGCTTCTCTTGTTATCTTGAAGTTGTTGGAGCTGTCACAGTGAACAGGAATAATTTGAATCCCGGTTCTCCAACACAGGTCACGAACGAATCTGCAATAGAATGCAAACATGAGAAGTTTGTGAATTGTGATTTACATTGATTAGTTGTATGTTACTTAAACAAGTTAATACATTGCCACCCCTTAATCAAGTCATAATTCGACACTAATCAAGTCTCTTTTTTAGACCAACACAGTCATCGCCAATAACTTTCCGGTCCACTTTTGTGGTCCCTTCGCCCGATAGAACAAAGTTATAGCTCCTGACCGTGAAAAATTTCTAAGAGCCACCTGTGAGAATTGATATATTATCGATGCATGTTTGAATGCGAGGTAAACGTACACTGAGAAATGTCAAGTTCAACTTTCCAAGGTCAATGTTAGATTAAAGGTCCACTTAGCTTTGAGTTATAAAATGTAATGTCAACTTGGGTTTCGACTTTTTAAGTATGAAATTCCTCCCCATGCTTGTTGACTTCTAAGGCCATAAAAGATAATCACTCATGCCAGAACCAAAGTCAGACTAGGAAACTTTCTTTTTTGACACGTATTGTGAGATATACCAGTGTCACTACCCATAGATAGGAAATTATCGGATTTAACACGCTCTTCCCTAGTTGTGAAAAAAACAGTTGGATGTTGAATTATTTCATAATTATTTACCCAAAGATAAAGTAAGTCATATTTTTTTAAAATTTTGTTAGCTAAGAGATAAAAAAGAATACTGAAGCAATGTCTAATTTGCAGGTTATTTTATTGTTGAGCTGGGCTCATGTGAACACAAGCTTCTTCCAATTTGATAATTGGAGCCACGTGCCAAGGTCATAATTTCATTGCCTACAAATTCAAAACGAGGCACCAGATCACACAGTCCCTTCATCTGCTATTTCCAGACCTTTTCTAGGACCAAAACCACTTGCTAGCTACTGTCATGACTCATGCAAGGAACTTCTCCAAATAATCTACCAGGTTTTATTCTTCAAATTACAAATTTTTATATGATTATGTAAATAATACGATTATATAATGGAATGCGTAAAACCTGTTTAGATGTATTTGGCATGCTGTTTCAGCCATCGGTTAACATTCCTCATTGAAAGAAACAGAGCAGCCATGGTTCTTTGTGTTGGTTTAATAACTTCCACTTTTGAACATTCGATAGATAGTAAACATACATTGAATGAACACAAAGGTTAAGAAAAAGAAAGGGCACATACGCTGGATAATAAGGTGAAGGAACCAAAAAGGCATCTCCAGGATCTGCCAAACAGAACATGATGAGCTCGTTGGCCCCTGTGGCCCCGCCACTCATCAGTATACGGTCAGGATCAAATTTGACCCTACCACCTCTCGCTTTGGACATAAAATTAGCCACACCCTGCAAAACAATACATAATATCCTCAATACCAAGGAATAACATTTTAAAAAAAAAAACAAAAGAAAAGAAAGTAAAAGATAAAGATAAAAATACTCGAGGAATATTGCCATGGCTTACCTTTGTGAACTCTGGGAGTCCATGATAGTCCTGGAAGTTAGCAATATGCTTAAATTGGTTTACTCCTTCAGGAGTACAAATGGAGGCCTTGGGATTCTCCATCATCCAATCTTGAATCAAATCAAAAGAGAGCTAGAAAAAAATGAAAACACGCCCCCGTGAGTCAATTTATCGGGCAGCTTGGCTTCATTGTGATACGATAATGCTCAAAACAAGTTGTCAGTTACCTGATTCTCCGACAGACCCATCTGAATAACCCCATCGGGATTCTTCGTGGGGTGAAATGGGTCTCTGTCGTAGGCCTTCCACCCATCAAAGTAAGGGGAATTCTCTCCATGTTTGTCATTGGTGGCAATCTTGGACAGAAGCTGATGGTGATGGCTCTCACTTGGCAAACCCATTTTCAGTTTTAAAGAAGGTAAAGTGAAGGTCAGTCTGGCAAGCTGAAGTAGCAACAATGGCTGTGAGAGTAAATGAGAAATGTGGTTGGAAATGCAGAGGAGGGTGAGGGAGGGAGTGAGAAACCTCGGGAATTTATAGGCACTGAAGAGTTTGAAAGTTACGATCATACAAGCAAAGATGGAAAGGTCTTCCTTTGTTCTCATGGTTCAAATGGGAAGAAATCAAATAACAGGAATTTTTGTTTCGTGAAGTGATAATGCACCAGTCAAAGGAAAGAAGCGCAAGGGCTTGCGTGTCACCTCGTGATGTCGCGACGGCATCACGTGAGGGAGAGAATTCGTCCTCGGGGATATATGAATTTTCGCGAAGGTGTCCCCCGTTAGGTACTTGTTCCTTTAAACGTGAGAAATACTTAATATGTTGAACGAAGTTTAATTTATGGGACGCGGGAAGTTTCCTCCGGAGCTGGCGATACATTAGAACGTTCAACGGACCTAAAAGGAAAAACAGGGACAAAGTCGGATACACAGTAAATTTAAAATAGGATGGGAAGGCATATGCGGGTATGGGTTTAGCAAGTATGTATTGATGAGAAGAAGATGGAATTGAAATATGAGGTGCGGAGTGGTGTGGTGTTCTGGAGAGTTTCAAGTTTCAACATATTTCATGAAGAAAGAGGCGACAGGGATAAAGGCAGCCAAGGTACCAAACCGTTATTAAGCACATATGTATCAAGGTTTGACTTTTAATTTAGGTCGATGGGAACAAGGATTTGTGCATTTTGTGGGGTGAAATGCACGTGGAAGATAGAGGGAGCGACGGGGAGGGCCTTCGGGCTTTCGGACGGTAGTTGCCTGTTGTGGATTTTTTTTTTTGGGAAAAAAAAATAATTACCCCTTATCTAACCCTTTCTCGTGAGGGAAAAAAAAAAACAAAGAAATAAAGAAATAAAGATACACACAAACATGCTACTGTTAATATTGGAGCCGAACTAGAATATGAGGGAAGTGACACTACCGGGATTTGAGGTGTTTGTTGTCCACCAGTGTCAAAAATTGCATCCCTTTATTTTAACTAAAGATTAAAAAAAAAAATTTATCAAACCGTGACCTGGAGCATTAGAGAGGGCCGAAGCCAGAAAAGACAAGACGACATCTCCAAATGGGATGGAGAATGAAAAGGGCCAACACCCGTGGCTGTGGGACGGCGAGGCGCTGTCCCACGTGTTTAGGGTTGGTCCCATGCATGCTCCAACTATACCCACGTGGAGTGTCATCACACTCACACCGTTCTCCACTTGTTTGCTTGCTATTGCAATTTAACCAACCCACTTTTGTTAGTAAACAAAATCGCTTAAATACTGCACCGTAAAAAATATTTACTTAAATATTATATTAAAAATCATTCAAATAAGAAAAAAAGTTTACATTTGTGAAGATATAGTCAAATAACTTGACATTTTTTTATGAAAAGTGAAATCCATCACTTAATGAATGAGTTCAACTCTTTTTTTACTAATGCGATATAATATTTAATTTAAAGATATAACCCGCTTTTGTGAGAATCTCCCCACACGCAATGATATTTGAGACTTACCCGACAATGAATTCAATATATAAGTGTTGATATTAGGTTCATGGTAAGTGTTGATATTAGGTAACATGATATTTATTTTAGGCTAACATATTAAATTATAAGATAATTTTAAAAAATTTTGTTATCCTGCGAAAACATAAGATAATTTGAGAAAAATAAGATTTTATTAGTATTATTTTTCAAATAGAAAAGAATTGAAATGATATTACAGAATAATGATGAAGTATATAGGGTTATTTTTGAAAATTTATAATGTTGTTTTGAAAAAATAAATTTATAAAGTATCATTATATTATTGTATTTTATTGACATACATAAAATTGTTTCAACTTATCTTATAATTTACAACGGAAGAGGTACATGAAATTGGAGAGTAATAATGGTAAGAAATGGTGAAAGAGAGTTTAAAGTGGAGCTGTTATGTGTGTCATCAAATGTGATGAAATGGTGAGGACGGGCGTAAATTGAGACAGGGAGGTGACACGTATTCTTCACATGGTGATGATCGGTGATGAATGTGTTTTTCACATGAAGCATACATGCATGGAATGATGGAGTTGAATGAATGAAGATTTGAACGAAGTGTGTATCACAACGCAAGAACGCGTACGTTAGTGCGTCGCCCTCAGTCTCGCAAATTTTTCAGCCCTTGGACAGTACAGTGATGGGATGCATAATGCATTCATATTTGCGCGTCACTTGCTCCCACTTCTTTGGCTTTCACGCGGCAACTCATTTTTATTTAACTTGTTTTTAAACACACGACTCCTACATCTTCAAAGTCGCGACCCATGGAGCCTCACCCCACTAGAGCTGAGGCCTCTATTCAATTTTAAACCTTGGTAACTATTTTACAGTTTATTTTTTTAAAAAAGAAGAGAATCAGGTGAGACTTCATCCCTTAAAAACTTTATATTTTTTTATTATGCACTTATTAGGTACTCTATACAAGTTTCACACACCATTTCTTCAAATTTAAAAATAACAAAGAAAAAAGGTATAATTAAAAAATAATTATAAAAACTATCTAATATTCTATATTTTGGGTCAAACAAAAATTTTAGAAAATCTCTTATATTGTGATCTCACAATATCTTGATTTTATAAGGCTATGAGGTGGCTCCTTTCGTCCCGGTGAATCCAACCTTGCCGAGCAATTCAAACCAAGTCGATTTTTTTTGTTTAACTAAGTTTTTTATTTTTTTGGGTAAATTAAAAAATTATCTTTAAATTTTAAATTCAGTAGTACCATGATATTGAACTCATACAAATTGTTCCCTCAACTTTTAAAAATAATATTATATGAAATTATTTTTAATTTTTAAAAATAGTGCAATTTAATCATTGTCATCAACAAAGGTTAACTTTGACCTTTAGTTTACCAAAGACTGATAGAACTTCAACAATTATAGAATAGGAAACAAAATTTTAAATGGACCCAAAAATTATAAAAAGGATCAAAAGAAATTTTGGTCATTTTCTATATTTTTTGAGGCCCTTCTCCATCACTTTTGATCAATTAACAGTCAAAGTTAAATTTTATTAACGGCAAAAGTCATATTGCAATATTTTTAAAAATTGAAGCAATAATTTATATAATAAATAAGTTTAGAGTCTATGGTACTACTTGATATAAAGTTCAAGGTAATTTGCTCATTCATCCTTTTTTTTTAATTATTGATCAATTTTTTTGATCTCTTTTTTTATGACATGTCCCTTATATTTCTTAGATGATTTTCCATTTTTATTTGCACATGACTCTTTTAAATAATCATAAAATTTATTTTTTATTCTCAGTAAAAAAATAATAAACACAATTACATTTGTGGTTTTTACTCTTTATGCTTATTTTCTCCCTTTCCTTTCATTTTTTTCATATCTAAAATCTAAATTATTATATAGAAGTTATTATCCGCCCTAAGAGTACATATGGATCGGACCATTATGTCTTGACATTGCAATATACCTACTTGAAATTTCTTGATATAATGAAATTTTTAATCTTTTAAATTTAGTTTTTATCAACTTCTTCCTTAAATTCATCAAAAATTAAAAAAAGAATCTAAAAATTACATGTAACAAATCCAAAAAAACATGGGAAATGACCAAGAATTTTTTTTTTTCAATCACTTTCTTTAATTTTGAGGCAATTTTCAATTATATTTTGATCAACCAACGATTAAAGTCAATCATTATTAATGATAAGGGCAATATGATATCGTTTTGAAATGTTGTAAAAAAAAAATGTTGTACGAAAAACTAATTCAAGGTATTTAGCACTCATGATCCTATAATAGTTTTAGAGTAAATTTGCACGTTAACCTTTGAATTTATTAATTTGAAGCAGTTTTTTTCAAGACAAAATGTGCCTAGGTCCGAGATTTCCCAGATTTAACGGGCATATTTTTTTAAAAAAATTATAACTATGTATGTATAATGACTAAAAAAATTAGACAAAAACTTAGTAAAACTTACCCTAAATCGTTCAGGCCAAAAAAAAAAAACCTTACACTAAATCGTTTCGAAAAATTGTTTTCAGGATTGAAGGTTATATAAAATATTCAAGCCAAAAAATATCATTTAATATTTTTTATAAATTTTTATTAATTAGATCAAAAGTCAACAGATGATATCTTTATTACAAAAATATTTTAAATTTGTAACTTGAATATAATTTAGTAGTGAATATGAAATGGTTGGATTAAATTAAAAAACGATGAAGTCAAAAGAAACAAACAAGTGTGATTTTAGAATATAAAGTGAATCACGTAAGCTATCATCGATACTATTATTAATGCCTCATGCTCTTAATCTCACTTACAAACACATAATTTTCGTGGTTGAGTCTAAATTAGATTCCCAGGCTCACAGAATTTTCCCCCTTTCTTGACTTTATTGTTGCCGTTCCATATATAATTGAGACTTTTTATCTTAGCTTCAAATTACAAAATTCTACTTGAACGGCAAAGAAAATTATAAGATTAAACGACAATTTAGCCTCAAGTTATAAGTCTATGAATATTCTCATTTTTATATAATATTCTCCTTTAACTTTTAAAATTATGTAATATCATGTCTATCATTAATAAAAATTAACTTTAAATGTTAGTTTATTAGAAAATGAAATAAAAGAACATTAAAATTTTTTTTTTCCTTAAGTATAATTTTTGAATTTTTTCTATAATTTTTTTGATTCTATTTTTTGTAATTTTCTTGGTCTTTTATTTTTTTTAGTTAACTAATTATCAAAGTTAACTTTTATTAGTATTAGGAGTAATATTATACTATTTTTTAAAATTGAAAAAAAATATTGTACTAAAAATAAATTTAAAATTGTAAATGCCCATTGACTTATAATTTAAGGGTCAAATTTCCCATGATCCAAAATTATATATACTAATTTATGACGTTGAAAATTTCATGTCATTATTTTGAAATATGAGGACATATATTTTGGCCTAGAAAAAGGACACAAATATATAGATATCTCAACATAAAATATAAAATTCATATTAATTATATTTTTCGTAAATTATACAACTTATTTTTCAAACCACATCCTATTTATGCTATGCATGAATGAAAATGTGTTTAGCCGGTTGTAGAAAAATAGCACCCAAACAAAAAAAAGTATAAGATGATAATTTTCTTGCTGCCCGCAAAATATTTTTGGCAA